ACATTTATAACAATATCACTATTACATACTTTTATAAATGTACAAAGATACTAAAACTTCTTACTGAAGTTATTATGTTAGGAGTTGAGCATGAGCCCTGAAGAATATGAAAAATACAAAAAAAAAAAAACTAAAACAAAGCTGAGAATTCTTTACAAGAAAAATATATAGATTCATCACTTTGTTAAGAGTAAGCAGCTAAAACAACAAAGAAGCAATAATTGCTCTCAGAGCAATTATTAAAGAAATTCCTCTTCACCCAAACTTTAAAAAATATGTCTACATAGATTCTGGATATTAGCCTGGAGAAACAAATTTACAAGAAAAAAAACTAATAACCCCATCAAAAAGTGGGCAAAGGATATGAACAGACACTTTTCAAAAGAAGACTTATGCAGCCAACAAACATATGAAAAAAAGTTCATCATCATCGGTAATTACAGAAATGAGAATCAAAACCACATTGAGATACCACCTCATGCCAGTTAGAAAGGTGATCATTAAAAAAGCAGGAGACAACAGATGCTGGAGAGGATGTGGAGAAATTTCAGACACTGAAGGTTCATAATCCTTTAAGAAGAATTTCTTCAATCCATTAATTTTACCATGCTAATATTTTAGTTTTCTTAACAAAATATAAGTAAAAATTGTCATTCCTTTTATTCATCTTATCATAATTAAAACAAGCATAATTACCAGCAAAAGAAGACAGAGTCACTAAGCACAATATTGGGTTTTTCCATCCATGGAAAAACAGTAATATAAAGAATATTGCATAGTAGGAAGAGCCAAAAGTATCTAAAATATGCATATAATTGTGAGGTAAAATTGTCAGGATGAACCAATGTCAAGCGTTTTTGTTTTTTTTTTTTTTTAATGAGAATTGGTCTAATGTTTAAAACAATACCTGAGGTTAAACTTCATTCACTCCTTTAATAAACACTTGTGAGCAGCTGCTGACTTTAGGCTGGGCCCCTTTTTAGACCCTCAGAATATGGCAGTGAAGAGACAAAAAGTCTACTCATGACTGAACACACAGTAACAATAAAGACAAGAGAGAGGCAACATAGAGAGTCTATCTGAGAAGGAAAACTAAAGCAGGAAAACAAAATTGTGATGTGTTGAAGGGGACACCGCTGGAAGTACCAGAATTGCCGGAATTCTGTCTCTCTGCCACTTGCTGAGACAGTGGCTTTTCAGTGAAGAACTTAAGGAATGGAACAAGTGGGCCAAGAGGCCTCTGAGGGGACAGCACTCCAGACAGAGGAACTGCCAAGTACACAGGGAACCAGGAGTGTTTGAGGAACAGCCAGAAGCTCAGTGTGGCTGGAGCAGAGAAAAAGAAATAGAAACAAAAGTTGCAGTTAGAGGGATAAAGAGACGAAATGATGCGGTGCCTTCTAGGTGTTGGAAAACACTTCAGTATATACTCTGAAATGCGAGGCAATTAGAAGGTTTAGAGCAGAGGAAAGGCACAAGCTGACTTAGGTTTCCATACATCTGCTGAGTAAAGAACTGGTGGAAAGAGGATTCAAATACATAAATCAATAAGAAGACCAATGAACAGTCTATTACACTCATCTCAACAGCAGGTGGTGGTTGCTGGGACATGGAAGATATGGCGCTTCTGGATATATGTTGGAGGTAGTCCTGACAAGACGTCCCAACAGATGAGATGTGAGGTGTCAGAGAAAGGTATGAGACAAGGATGACACCAAAGGTTTTGGCAGAACAACCAGGCGAGTTGCCATTGACACAGGTAGGAAAGGCTCTATGTGGGGTAGGTATGAGGAAGGACATCAGTAGATCAATTTCAGGCCTGGTAAATTTGTGACACCCAATGGCTAACCAAAGACAGATGTCAGGAAGGCAGTTTGATATTTAGGTCTGGAGTTAAGGAGAGAGAGCTGGGCTGGAGAGATATAGATTTAGGGATCACTAGCACATGCAAGGTAGTAAAAGTCAAGAGAAAGTGGATCCAGGACTGAGCCCTGGGACACATCAATGTTGAAAGATGTAGGATGGGGAGAAGCAAGCCAAACAGACTACAATGGATGGACTAGCAAGGAAGGCGATAGAGCCAAGTGAGCAAGTGCGTTCCCGAAAGCCAAGGAAAGAAAGTGATATGAAGGAACTTCTGATGGGTTAAATAAAATGAGGTTTCAGAAATTATGTCTAGATTTATCAAAGTGAAAATCAGTAGAAATCTGGAGAAAAGCAATTTTGGAGGAGTGGTGGGACTGGAAGTTACTGGAGAGTTCAGCAGTGAGTGGAGAGAAACTCTAAGTCTGTGACTACACAGTTTTTTTCAAAAACATCATACCTATGTGGTATGATCCAGGATGACAGAATGATTATTCATCTTAAACTTTAAATATTGTTTAAATTACACAGATGTGGCATTTTTTAAAAAGGCCTCACCAAGGTATTAACTAATGCATTCACAAAAGACCAGCTGAACATTTCTATGTAATATACACTGATTATCATTTTGCTAAATAAAGACCACAGAAAGACTAAAAGTTTCAAGGGCACTATTTCTTGCTTGATGAAAATCATCCAACTTTAAAATATCTTATACTCAAATATGCAAAATTGTCTTATTAAAATATTATAATATTGAACTATATATTGAGTTCTATAAAATTATAAAAGCATTAAATTTTATTAATAAAAGTAAAAGGGGTCCAGGCACAGTGGCTCACACCTGTAATCCCAGCACTTTGGGAGGCCCAGGCAGGAGAATTGCCTGAGGTCAGTAGTTTGAGACCAGTCTGGCCAACATGGTAAAACCCCATCTCCACTAAAAATACAAAAAAAAAAAAAAAAAAAGCCAGGCGTGGTGGCAGTGTGTGCCTGTAATTTTAGCTACTCAGGAGGCTGAGGCAGGGAAATTGCTTAAACCAGGGAGGTGGAGGTTGTAGTGAGCTGAAATCATGCCACTGCACTCTGGCTTGGGTGACAGAGCAAGATTCTGTCTCAAAAAAAAAAAAAAAAAAAAAAAAAGGGGGGGCGCCAGGCGCAGTGGCTCAAACCTGTAATCCCAGCACTTTGGGAGGCCGAGGCTGGTGGATCACGAGGTCAAGAGATCGAGACCATCCTGGTCAACATGGTAAAACCCCGTCTCTACTAAAAATACAAAAAATTAGCTGGGCACAGTGGTGTGTGCCTGTAATCCCAGCTACTCGGGAGGCTGAGGCAGAAGAATTGCCTGAACCCAGGAGGCAGAAGTTGTGGTGAGCTGAGATCGCCCCATTGTACTCCAGCCTGGGTAACAAGAGCGAAACTCCGTCTCAAAAAAAAAAAAAAAAAAGGAAAAGGAGTGAAATGCAGAAAATAATATTATTCTTTCAACTGAATTTTTGTAATTCATATAAAATGAAGTCACTGCTGAAAAATGTGGTGTGGTGCATACTGAAATAGCTTATCTTTTGAAAGGAAGGATAACAGCATGCATGAAGTATACCTTTAAAAAGAAGATTCACTGCATCAGCAGCACCTTGGTTTTAGAGCAGGCACCATCACATTAGTACTTGTGGGTCACATCTAGCCCCCTGCTGGTTTTTCTAAGTAACGTTTCATTGAAACACAGCCATGCCCATCCATATACTGTCTATAACAGATTTTGGACTATTACAAAAGAATTTATAGTCCACAAAGCCTAAAATATTTATTATGGCTTGATAGAACAAGTTGGTCAATTTTTGGTTGAGATCAAACATCCTTTGATGCAATTTTCAGAAGCTTTACCCCATATGCTGAAATGTCCACATGGAATGTGGATCCCCATGTGCAATTTCTTGGCAATATTCAGATTAAGTTTAAGGGCTTAATGTTTAAACATTCATTCATTGAGAACCTAAAACAAAAACTTAAGAACTAACAATTTTGTTAATGACAAGGTAGAGGGCCAATGTAGCACGAAGCTGGCTTTTGCAACTCAGTGGGTATTATCAGAATTCTTTTAAAAAGTGGTTGAGATGTGTCATCAAACTAAATACTTGGAATATAATTTAATAGTGAAATAATCGGTGCACTATAGACATGGCCTCATTTTTTAATGGCTGCATATTACACTATTTTGTAGACATGCCAATTTATTTCTTATTGATAGGTTATGACAATGCTATAATAAATATACTTAACATATACATGTATATATGCAACCTATTTATATGAATATTCTTAATATAGGTATATAGTCTTTCATGGTATATATATTTTGTATATTAATTGGCCTGTTGTTCATTATGTATAATGTATAATTAATGTCCTTAATAAGTGCACGTGTGTATGTTTACACAAGTTATGTTTTCCTGTACAATCAAGTCCCAGAAGTGAAGTTGTCAGGTTAAAATGATGTCAGATTATTTGAGATTTTGATACACAGCATTAAGTTACCCTTCAGAAATAATTTCCCAATTACATACACCGACAGTGTATGAGAATGCCTTTTTCCTCCCATTTGCCAACATTAGTAATTATTTTTTAAATATCCGTATAACTTTTAAAAAATATATCTTATTTTTTGTTAATTTGCATTTTCCTGGAAAAAAAAGACAGGTCTAAATATCCCTGGTAAAATTATTAAATTTGTTAATCATAAGGAATATTAGTCTGACTTAGAATTAGTGTATAGCAGCATGACAATTATCTGCTGTTAAATACTGCTATAGGCAGCCAGGTGCAGTGGCTCATGCCTGTAACTCCAGCACTTTGGGAGGCCAAGGCGGGTGGATCACCTGAGGTCGGGAGTTCAAGACCAGCCTGGCTAACATTTCATTTTTAGTGAAATTTTATTTCTACTAAAAATACAAAACATTAGCCCAATGTGGTGTTGTGCTCCTGTAATCCCAGCTACTTGGGAGGCTAAGGCAGGATAATCACCTGAACCTGAAATGCAGAGGCTGCAGTGAGCTGAGATTGCCCCATTGCACTCCATCTTGAGCAACAAGAGTGAAACTCCATTTCAAAAAACAAAATTACTGTTATAGGCTTACCCATCATGCTCTTCCTTCACCTTCTTGGGAAATTGCTGAGGATACATTTTCTCAATCTTTCTTCCCTGGGTTAATCCAGCAGCAGCATCAGAAGATGTATTATCACACATATTTTCTGATAGTTGTATTATTTCACTTTTGTTTATATTCCTTCCTTCTTTGACCTTTAATAAAAGTAATATGAGTAATAATTGTTATTTTTTATTCAATAAAAAGAATTCTTTACCTGATTTTATCACTTGATTCAGGTTAACTGTTACCATTTTAATCATAAGAATATTTTGTTCTTTAATTTTATCATTATACATAATTATTATCACATACTTATAAGATATTCTTATCATTCCATCATTAAAGTTGTTGTAATGTCTGCTCATTTCTGTTTGAATGAATAAAAGAATTTTCCAAAATTTCAAAAAGGGCTCTCCTCCATTTTGTGCTTTATTCCCATCCACTCTTTGCTAACTGATATGAATTTTTATGTTATCTGACTGGCAGAAACAGAGAAATGAAAAGGCACAGACATAACATATGTCTTCTGTCTTTACCACCTTGATTTTACATGAAATAGCCAGATTGAGAGGATGTGAGCTTGTGGGGCTTCAGGAACAGGAAAGAAGATTTTCCTTTTCTGCATTAAGCTATTCTTTTAGCCACTGCCTTCTATCTTTTTTTTTTAATTTGAATCCTGGTATATCAAAAAAGTAATGGTGCTCCCTGGACTATGGGAACCAAAGTTTGCCACAACATAAGAAGGAGAGTGAAACTTCTGAGTTGCTAGTGCAGAATTCTGGAAAATGAGATGCTTCCCAGATTTTGCATTCAATTATCACAAAGATGACACAATTTCATATTGGTGAATTATATAAATTACCAGATAAATTTATTAAATTAGTGAGATGTATCAAAAATATAACTTGGGGTTGGGCATGGTGGCTCACCCCTGTAATCCAAGCACTTTGGGAGGCCGAAAGGGACAGATCACCTGAGGTCAGGAGTTCAAGACCAGCTTGACCAATATGGAGAAACCACATCTCTACTAAAAGTACAAAAAGAAAAAATTAGTTGGGCATGGTGGCCCATGCCTGTACTCCCAGCTACTCAGGAGGCTGAGGCAGGAGAATTGCTTGAACCCAGGAGGCAGAGCTTGCACTGAGCTGAGATAGCACCATTGCCCTCCAGCCTGGGCAACAAGAGTGAAACTGCATCTGAAAAAAAAAGTGTAACTTGGGCAAAGCAATCTAATGCCTCAGGGAGTAGGAAAAGGCCTCATCAGCTTTTACTCTGAAAGAAGAAAATCCCTAGAACCAACCACTCAGGGAGACACTAGATATCACCAGGTTCAAGCCATACAAAAATCTCAGGGTCACCAACATAAATAAACAAAACTGTTGGAAACAAAAGACAATTTTAAAATACAGTGGAACTATACAATGTAACCCCTTCCTATACTTCATACCAGTATCTTTTTAACAACACACTAACTGAGTAGGCAGTTACTAATAAATTGCAAAATTACTGTTACTGTTCATGCCTTAATTACTGTGCACCCCATTTTTTTACATCTCAAATGTTTTCCTCTACTATTTTGACGAATTTATTTTCTTTTAAGACTCAGAATGTAGGCTGGGCATAATAGCTCACATCTGTAATCCCAGCACTTTGGAAAGCCAAAATGGGAGAGTTGCTCAAGGCCAAGAGTTTAGGACCAGCCTGAAAACCACAGCAAAACATTCACTCTACAAAAAATTAGATGGGCATGGTGATATGTGCCTGTAGTCCCAGCTACACAAGAGGTTTAGGAGAGAAGATCCCTTGAGCCCAGCAGTTTGAGGTTGCAGTGAGTCTTGATCATGCCATTGCACTCCACTCTGGGTGAAAGAGTAAGAACTTATCTCCAACAACAGAAAAAGGAAAAAAAAAAAAGGCTCAGAATGCTATGTGAGGCCTTCCTTGAGTCTGACTATCTTTCTCCATGTACACAGGTACCTTCTGTGGCTCCCTTCATACTTTGTCCATTTTTCTAGTGTAACTTGACCACCTGAACTGCATCTCATGTCTTTACATGTTGGTCCCCTTTGCTACTAGGCTGTAGGGGACAATCTTTTGAATCATCTTTGTATAAACAGCCTTACTTTTACTAAATAATTATTTATTGAGTTCCTTCTAAGTGCTAAGCACTGGGATATAAAGAAGGAAACTAACAGCTGTCAGGAAGGCTTTCCTAAAGATATGCCTGAGCTGAGACTCAGAGAGTGAGGTCAGCCAGATTTAGTGAGGCAGAGGGCAGGGAAGGGTGAGCACAGGCCAGGCAGCAAGAAGAGAGGGTGAGAATCCTCCAAAAGTGTAGGTATTTCTCTACAAAAGAGAAATGGTGAGGGGGGGCACTACCAGCAACTCAGTAATTCCAGAGAAAAGGGCAGATGGGGAAAAGGCTACAGATGGAGATTTGGGCAGATGTCAGTTTCTTTTTCTTTTTTCATTTTTGTTGAGACAAGGTCTTACTCTGTCTCCCAGACTGGAGTGCAGTGGCATGATCTCGGCTGACTGCAACGCCACCTCCCAGGTTCAAGTGATTCTTCTGCCTCAGCCCCCCAATTAGCTGGGATTATAGGCACATGCCACTACCACCTGCTAAGTTTTGTATTTTCAGTAGAGACGGGGTTTCACCATGTTGGCCAGGCTGGTCTTCAACTCCACCACCTCAGCCTTCCAAATGCTGGGATTACAGACATGGTCCACTGTGCCCAGTCCGGAAGTCAGTTTCTGAAAGTCTTATATAAGGTGCTTGGTCATTAATATTAATATATTCAAGAGTGGTTCATAAATCTATTTGCCCTAGAGATCATTAACTCTTAATGAGGAGCGTGCAATTCAATGCATATAGATAAATGGACAAAGATAAAATATGAGAAAATGTTGCAAAGATGATGCAGGCCTGAACTCAGATGTTTCTAGAAATATTTAGGCTATAAGTATCAGTGGCCTCTATAAAAATGAATTTTAATTGAGGGAATATGTATCTATCTGGATCCCTGGAGAAATACACTCTGCTCATCACTTTACAAAAGTTATCAAATGAGAAGTAAAATAATATACAAAAGCTGTTTCAGTTACTGGTATGTACTTTATACTTTTTCTGTTTTAGTCTTACGGTGCTGATGAAATGCATTTGGGGATTTTTTTTCTTTACAAAGATTCGTTCTTGTTACCCAGGCTGGAGTGCAGTGGTGTGATCTCAGCTCACCGTAACTTCTGCCTTTTGGATTCAAGTGATTCTCCTGTCTCAGCCTCCCAAGTAGCTGGGATTACAGGCATGCACCACCATACCCAGCTAACTCTGTACTTTTGGTAGAGACAGGGTTTCTCCATGTTGGTCAGGCTGGTCTAGAACTCCCAACCTCAGATGATCCACCTGCCTCAGCTTCCCAAAATGCTGGAATTACAGGTGTGAGCCACCATGCTGGGCCACATTTGGGAATTTTGTTTGAAAAGTTCTACTTCCCGGATCTACCAAGCTTATAAGAAAATAGGAGCAAACAAGTCATTTGCATATGTAAGATTTCATAGCTTGTCATCACTACTCTAGAAAATTATCATCATGTTTTGTAAAACACAGTGTTAATTTTAGACTTAAGGGGAAAAAGAAATGGAAGCTATAGTGGTGAAAATATATTGTATGATTTATTACTGTTGACCTGATCATATGACTGATTAAGGTCACTGAATTTAACTTGTATATAAAGTAGACCCCATATTAGCTGCTGTTAATCGATAGACTGGGTGTTCTAGCAGAATTAAATTTGATGCTTCTGTGTTATCTTTAAATGATACAGCGCTTCTTAAAACTCATATTCCTAGTGCATGATTATCCATTAAGACAGGTGATGGAATGTGTGAATACAGCTGATGAGACACTACAAAACAAATGCTCAATGGTTTTCATTAATATTGGGAAAATCACCCCCCAGATACCAATGTGTGATGATGCTCCCTTCTCTGTGTCTGTGTGTTTTCATTGTGGGGAATTTGGGGAGGGATAGCACTAGGAGAAATACCTAATGTAGATAATGGGGCAATGGATGCAGCAAATGACCACCAAGGCATGCGTATACCTATGTAACAAACCTGCACAATCTGCACATGTACCCCAGAACTTAAAGTATAATCAAAATAAAAAATAAACGTTTGAGATGATGAACATGTTAATTGCCCTTATCTGATCACTATACATTTTACATATCAAAATATGTAAAATTATTTGTTAATTAAAAAATAAAATATTGAAAATATTGGTTAAATCAACACTATCATAGAGAAAGCCATAGGCATTATTTAATATTTGGTTTTGGGAGGTACTTTTAGTGACACTGCATATAGTTATACCTAATAATTGCAAAATTAGAGATGTAAAAATAAATCAAAGAAGCCACATTGTGTTTGAGTAGGAAATCTATAGATCTCTACCTAGTTTTCCCATCCAGCCCTAGAATTCTAAATATAATCATGGTACCCATACTCAAGTTTATGTTAAATACTTGAATTTACACTTTCTCCTCACTCACTTTGTTGTTTGCCTGTTGCTTTCCTCAAGGAAAACATACAAATGCCTTGCTAAGAAGCATTCTGTTTGGTTGTAGGCTGCATAAGAGGAGTAGGACATTTGACCACAAAATGACTTTTTAAAAGTCAGAACTAAGGTAGCTTGAAGGTAATATAGTATAAAAGCATACACAAGTTTCAACAGCCAAATTGACCAAGCAGAAGAAAGGATATCAGAAGTCAAAGATCAACTCAATGAAATAGAACAAGAAGCCAAGATTAGAGAAAAAAGCACAAAAAGAAATGAACAGTCTCCAAGAAATGTGAGACTATGTGAAGAGACCTAACCTACGTCTGATAGGTGTACCTGAATGTGACAAAGAGAATGAATCCAGGCTGGAAAATACTCTTCAGGATATTATCCAGGAAAATTCCCCCCAGCTAGCGAGGCAGGCCAGTATCCAAGTCCAGGAAATACAGAAAACACCACAAAGATATTCTGCAAGAAGAGCAACCCCAAGGCACATAATCATCAGATTCACCAGGGTTGAAATGAAGGAGAAAATACTAAGGGAAGCCAGAGAGAAAGGTCGAGTCACCCACAAAGGGAAGCCCATCAGAC